GCTTGTCAACAATAGATGGTGCCATCCAGGTCATGTTTCAGTGAAATGTCGTCTTTGCAGCCCAGATGTTGAACTCTTGGCAGTAAGTTGTCGCCCATATTATTTGCCAAGAGAGTTCACCAGTGTTGTCTTGGCAACCGTTTATATTCCACCTTCAGCCATTGCTGAAAATGCATGTGATGCCATCAGTTCCGTTGTCGCTAAGCTACAAACCCAGCACCCCAATGCATTTGTGGCTATATCTGGTGATTTTAATCATGCCTCGCTCTCTGCTTCACTTCCAACATTTCAACAGTTTGTCAGCTGTTCCACCAGAGAAAACAAGACATTGGATTTGTGTTATGCAAATGTAAAGAATGCATACATGTCCAAAACAAGACCTCCTCTGGGACAATCAGATCACAATCTTGTTTTTCTCTGCTCGGAATACAAACCACTTGTTCAGAGGCAACCTGTGACAAGAAAAACTGTTAGAAAATGGTCACAGGACGCTGAAAAAGCCCTGCAGAGTTGTTTTGAGACCACAGATTGGATGACTCTCTGTCAAGGATATGAAGAGGACATCAATGCCATGACTGGATGTGTCACTGACTATATAAACTTCTGTGTGGACAACATCATACCCACCAGAACAGTGAGATGCTTCGCTAATAACAAACCCTGGATCACCAGTGAACTGAAGAATCTGCTAAATGAGAAAAAAAGAGCCTTCAAGGAGGGAGACAGGGAATTATTGAGGAGTATACAGAAGCAACTGAAGATCAAGATCAGAGACAGCAAGGAGGCCTACAGGAAGAAGCTGGAGAACTACAGAGGAACAATATCAGAGATGTCTGGTCAGGGATGAAGAAGATCACAGGCTTCAAGCAGAGGAAGGATTGCACAGATGGCAGCCTGGACACAGCCAATGAACTGAACAAGTTCTTCAATAGGTTTAGTTCAGGAACAAACCCAGCATCCTCCTCGCCTGTCCCCAGCCAATCAGACATCCCATCCTCCTCTGATCCAACATTTTCCTGTCACATGCCAGCTCTTTTGTCTTCTAACACAGTCATGGACTCATCTGGTTCTATTAATCTGTCTTCAACCAAGTCAGGAGATGCTGCTGCCCCAGTTACCTCCCCCTCCCACCTATCTGTCTCTAGAAGTCAGGTGAAGAGGCAGCTGGAGAGACTGAACAGGAACAAGGCTGCAGGTCCAGATGGTGTCAGCCCCAGAGTACTGAAGGCTTGTGCAGAGCAGCTCTGTGGGATTCTGCAGCACCTCTTCAACCTCAGCCTGGCCCAGAAGAAGGTTCCAGTCCTGTGGAAGACATCCTGCCTTGTTCCAGTTCCAAAGAAAACTCGCCCATCAGTCAATGATGACTACAGACCGGTTGCCCTGACATCCCACATCATGAAGGTCCTGGAGAGACTCCTGTTGGTCCACCTGAATAAGCAAACTAGAACATATCAGGACCCGCTGCAGTTTGCTTATCGCCATGGAGTTGGAGTTGAAGATGCCATCATCCAGCTGCTTCAACCAATCCACTGTCATCTGGACAAAGCAGGCAGCACTGTCAGGGTCATGTTATTTGATTTCTCCAGTGCATTTAACACAATTCAGCCTGATGTACTTTGCCAGAAACTCCAGAAGACACAGGTGGGGGCCTCAACTATTGCCTGGATTAAAGACTACCTGACAAACAGACCACAGTTTGTGAGGCTGAAGAACTGCACATCAAACCAGGCAATCAGTAACATTGGAGCACCACAGGGGACTGTACTCTCACCATTCCTTTTCACCCTGTACAACTCAGACTTCCAGTACAAATCAGAGACCTGTCATTTACAGAAATACTCAGATGACTCTGCAGTTGTCGGGTGTATCAGAGATGGACAGGAAGCTGAGTACAGAGAGCTGGTGGAGCGCTTTGTGGCATGGTGTGGAAACAATCATCTGACCTTGAACGTGAACAAAACAAAGGAGATGATTTTAGACTTCAGACGAAACAGGGTGGAGTCAAACACTGTTTCCATCATGGGAGAAGAAGTGGAGGTGGTTGAGGATTACAAATACCTTGGAGTTCACATGGACAACAGACTGAACAGTCAAGCCGTTTACAAGAAGGGACACAGCAGACTGCACTTCTTGAGGACGCTTAGGTCCTTCAATGTCTGTAGCAAGATGCTGCAGATCTTCTACAAGTCTGTTGTTGAGAGTGTAATCTCTTCAGCCATCGTCTGTTGGGGTAGCAGCATCAGAAGCAGGGACCTGAAAAGGCTCAACAGCCTAATAAAAAAGGCTGGTTCTGTTCTGGGGACGACTGTGGAACCACTGGAGGAGATAATGCAAAGAAGGATTCTCCAGAGAATCAAGAAAATTATGGACAACCCTGAGCATTCTCTTCACAAGACTGTCCGACAACGGAAGAGTGTCTTCAGTCAGAGGCTTCTTCAGTTTGGCTGCAACACTGACCGCTACTGGAGATCCTTCCTGCCAACAGCCATTGTAATATACAATAACTCTTTGATGACTTGATTATTATTATTATTCTGAGCTACTACAGCAATCAATTTCCCTCTGGGATTAATAAAGTATTTTTGAATTGAATTGAATTGAATTGAAACCTGCAACCTTCTGATCACGAGGCGAGCACTTAAAGAGCAAGTCACCCCCAAATAAACTTTTTTTGCTGATAAACTAAATAAACGAGTGTCTAATCGTGCTACAGATGTGTCGTCAATAATTTGGCACTTTAGTACATCTTAGTTAAAATTTAAATATTCTGCCTAAAACTGGCCATGTTGTGCCGTTGTCAGGTAAAAACTCTGCACTGTATTCTAATTTAAATCTGCCACTGCTATTAGCTAAGAGGTATACTATGATGTAAACTGGTACATTATGATGTCACAATGCTGTTGTGAGCCTGTGTGTGTGTATATTTGTTAGCAGCTTCGCCCTCTTGGTCTGCCTGGCAACAGCATTTGTTGCATTTTTCAAACATGAAGTGGGAGTTGAGTAAGAATCTGGTAGGGGGTGACTTGCTCTTTAACTCCTGTGCCACCGTCGCCCCTAGTTTAATACAAAAAAGAGTGTTGTGCTAATTTGTCGCTTTGTTTCCCAGACTTCTACTTGGTCGACAAGAAGATAAGTGTCAGTGGCAAAGCTAAATATTTGGGTCAAATCTTCATAGATCAGCTCTGTGACGATGACGACATTTACCGGCAATGTTGTATGCCCAAGCCAATATTTTGGTCAGGAAATTCCACACGTGTTCTGATAAGATGAAAATCCACCTTTTTAGAACCTACTGCACACCTTTGTATACTGCACCTTTGTGGTGTAAGTATAGGAAAGCCCACTTGCATAAGCTTAAAGTAGCGCACAACGATGCATTTAGGACTCTGCTAGGGAAGCCTCAGTCCTGTAGTGCAAGTCTTTTATTTTGTAATGTTCATGCCAGGACCTTCCAAGCCATAATGAGGAGTTTGATGTACAGGTTTATCCTGCGATTGAAGAACTCTAAGAACAGACTTGTGCAGATGCTGGTTGATCCCCATTTTAGTGCAGTGCGTTACCAGTCATCCACGTGGAGACTCTGGTATGCATGTCTTTTATAATCTTTTGTATCGTTTTTACGTGTTTCTATTGTTTCTTTTTAATATGCACTTTGAGTCTGATAATAAAGTTGATGATGATGATGAATACCACTTCAGTGAAATCTTTCTGATAAACATTATTTATTGGGTTTTATTTACTACTTTTGTTCAACAGAAGGTTAGAGACATGAGTGAGTTGGAAATGCTAGTTATGCTAGCTTAAATGAGCAAATAAACTGAAATTATAAAAATAAAACACGTCCATGATCCAAATTTGGGACGAGTCTAGCAGGAAACCTGATGTCTTCTACCTGCCCTAAACGTGTGCATTTTGGTGCAGAAGTTTGACTAAACTGCAGTGTAATTAAAGTCAGGTGTGTAGCGTTTTTATGACGATTTAGTCATTTAACAAATATTTTTATGCAACATTTTTCTGGATCCCTATGAGTGTCGACTTCACATCTGTACAGGTGGAGCAGACACAGATGTGCAAAAACAGGGTGGAAATTTGCACCAGAACTGACACAAAAGGGCATGGTCTAACCTTACAGATCTTTTTTTAAATCAAAACAAAACGAAAACTCAAACTTTAGAGAAGATGTTGGTGTGTGACTGAATGGAGTTGCATTATCGGAAACCAGAAACTCCACACAGACCCACAGAACAGACTGTAGGGGGAGAGAGGGGATGTCACTGTGATCAAAGTGTCTGTCTGTGTGTGTGTGTGTTTGTATTTTAACAAGCACAGGGCGTCTTTATTCCAGAAACAAAGGATCTGATAGCTCAGCTGTATCACAGCCTTTCCTCACAACACTTCCAGCTTTTGTCACATCTTCCTGTCATCAGTATTTTTCTTCTTTTGACATTTGTTTACATGTAAAAAAAAAGTCAAATTAAAAAAAGGTTCAAAAGTCAAATGTTTTTTCATGGTGTTGCAGATAAATTACACATTTGTTGTCAGGGCAAAAAAACGCCACATTTCCTTTTCTGCTTTTCAGTTACTTTTGAAAATGTAGATAAAATCCCCCCCCCCCCCCCCCCCCCCACACACACACACACACACACACACTAAGTGGGTGCAATAATTATAAAAAGTAGGAGAGGCAGCACCAAAATATTCCTGCAGCCTTCTACTGCCCTCTAGCGGACTGAATAGGATTTACAGTTTCAATTCTAAACTTGAAAAATGAGCTAATTAAAAACATTTACATTTTAATTTTACTGAAAATAAATGTGTGTAAAACTTATTTAAAATCTAAAATATCTCTGAGGGGGTTTCAAAACAAAAATTAAGAGAGGGACACTACATATATGTGCCTAATTCAAATTAAATGCATTACATTCAGTTAATTTATATAACACAGTAATTGTAATAATTAATAATTCACATGTCTGAGTTCTGATTAACCGTACACTTACCGAAGACTTTTCCTAAGAACAGCGTCTTGACCAGGTCAAACTGTGTGTCCGAGTCTTCTGGGAGGCTGTAGCTGACTGGAGGATAATGGTCCAGCTACGAGGACACACACACACACACACACACACACACACACACACACACACACACACACACACACACACACACACACACACACACACACACACACAGAGAGAGAGAGAGGTGGTGGGGGGGGGGTTGCTTTATTAGTATGTACATCTGAGAGTCTGAAAGTACTGAGCACAGAGATTTAAAAAGTCCTGCATCAGCAGCACATTCAGCAGAAAAAGCAAGTTTATAATTAAGCTCAATGGCTCCCTCTAGTGGTCACTGAAGGCTGAGGGAACATCCTCTTTTATGGTCGATTTGACAGATATTTATGAGAAGTTGCTAAAGGTTTTTGCAGAAAACACAATTTTAATACCTCTGAGTTGATTGCAGCAGATTACACAATGCAACACCACTGCTCGTCACCCTTTATAATACAGGCACCCCGATTACTGACAAGAAATACAATAACCACACAATTAGAATCACCCTAAAAGAAACCCTGTTGCTTATTAGATTTAACTAAAATATTATACATTAAAATTTGATAACAATCTATTGAGAATTTACAACTATTTACCAACTTCCTATACAACCAAAAGCTTCAACATCATGAATGCAGTTTACCCTTCCAAAGAGTTATTAAGAATATCAGCATAGACCACAATAAAGGCTCATTCTATGAAAGAGTTAAAAACAATACACCACATCTTTTAGGAATGTTTTAAAAGACAAACATCTTAAGAAAAATTTGAGAAATAGATCAAACAGAAAATAACGATTCCAGAACCACTAAAGATATGATAACTTTGCAAATTTTACAAAAACAAACTACTATAACTTAATCATTTGTTTAACCAAACTCTTTATCCCTAAACAAATAGTGCTAAGATCATCTCCTATCTTCTGTGTATTCTCAATTCAATTCCTGTTAGAGTTCAAATCCTTGATAGATGTGATGAAAGTTCATATAACATATTAATTGAATTTCCTTCTCCTTTGAATTTCCATTTGTGACATCACAAATGGGAACTTTTAGAAATGCTTTAAGGCACCTATTTAATAAAACTAAACACTGACATAAAGCAGAGGGACATTTTGTTTTACTTTTGTTTATAGAAGCAATAAAGACCCACATGGCTGCAAAAATCATGCAAAATTAGAATTTTGCACTACATGTCCCCTTAAACACGGATAGAAAAGCATTAGGAAAAGACGAATGCGCCTGTTATTTTAAACTCATTCACAAATATGCATTATGGCCAGCTGGGGACAGCATTAATATGTAAGCTAGAAATGGTCCACGTGGTTATTTTCAGGTCATGAAATGCTTAAACGGTCAGCACTAATCATTTTAGCCCCTTTGTGCAAAAACTACAAAAGGCAGCGTGGCGCTTGGGGGGGTGGGGGTGGGGTGGGGGGTGGGGGGGGGGGTGTTGTGTCTCTTTGTGCTCAAGTCACCCTGCAATTTTTGGCAAAAAAGAAGCTGGTGCACAGTGAAAATGCCATGATTTGATGCAGGGAATTCATTAAAACAAAACAAAAACAAATTCTCGCCCATAAAATACATTAGTTAGTAGGAATGTGAATCTTAGAGCAACTCACGATTTGATTTGATTCCGATTCTCGGGGTGCCGATTCGATTCAGAATCGATTCTCGATTTAAATCGATTCACAATCAGTATTAACAAAGAGTGTCAGCTCCAGGATTAACTACTTTGTTGTACAAGTTAGTTAAAGCTAAGGGACATTTTTACCCGACTTTAAACTGGTCATGCTCCAAAAATGCAAATTTACAATGTAAAATAAAGTGATTCTTAAACTGTAAACAGAAACAATTTTTTGACCAAAAGGCAACATTTATTTTTGCTTACCTTGTAAAATAGAACAAATCTGTAGTTACCCAACAGTAGCTTTGAAAGTAATACGGTCAAATACTCTTCAAGTATGTGTAGAAACAAGTTACATTAGTAATCCTGAGTACTCATTTATCAACTTAGAAAATAAATAAGAGAATATCTCAAATTTCTGAGTATGGAAAAAATGACATTCAAGTGCCCTCTTATTAGCAGATTCAAACATAAATCATCTCAGTTTATGGGACCACAAAAGTAAACGGAGTACTGACTCTCCTAACAAAGATCAAAAAAGTGCATCTCAAACCTGTATCATGCCAAATATTTGAGTTCTTGGAATCAATTCAGAATCTTTATAAATAAGAATCCCGATTCAGACGTGAATGGATTTTTTACAGCACCTCTATTAGTTAGGCACACTGCCGAGCCACCATGTGCCATGAAAAATAGCGTCTGATCGCTTTGGCATGGAGACCAAAAAGGCTCTGATATTCGGCTGGAGGGAACAACAATGGCTTATTCCATTACAAAGACATTTAGCGTTTTGTGGTGGAGACGCTGTTCTACGTTCTGATCCAGAATTCCTCACAGATGCTTTGTTGATTTTACATCAAATGTCTTCAGAATCATTTCTGCACTTTTAAGAGACCCCCTGTGAAAGCATGAGCTAATGTCCTCCTGGAAGAGACATCAGGACACAAATGTTTGTTAAAGGAATAAAGATGATCTCTTTCAATGTGTTTTAAATAAAAAGTAAATAGCAGGTGGGCCCCATATGAAAACTACAGGGGCTAATGCTATGGGTACAAACAGGTTTTGACCCAGCTTTCATGGTGGACCCACAGAGGATTCCCCATATAGATTTTAAAGAGCCCTACATGGGCTTTCAGGGGAACCTAGATGGTTTGACTCATACATGGGTCCATTAAAATTTATTTGGGGAAACTCCAGTGGGGCCACCATGGAAACCACAGACAAAACCTATTGGTACCCATACTGTTTGCTCATATATATTCCATATGGGGTCCATATGCTGGCTGGATTTGTGCAATTTTTTTGTCCGTCACATCAACATTGGTCTCCTCAGCTAATCAGCAAACCCACAAAAAAAGCTTTAAATCAGTCAGTTTTGTAGATTTTGAGCTGCTACTTCACATAATGGTTGCTGAGAATTACCCAAATTCAATTCGATTCAAATTCAAAAATACTTTATTATTAATCCCAGAGGGAAATTGATTAATAGAAATTGATAAATAGAAAATTTACAAAGTTTATTTAGAGTTTCAAGCTGTTTTCTGGGAACAAACAGCAAGCCCACAAATCTCCACGAGAATGTGAGAGTAGCTAAGGTGATGGAAGGAGGGAATGGGCGACTTTAATATCCCTGCAACATAATTAACTTGTTATTGCTGTACCAATGAAGTTTCTAATTAGCTTGAAGGCTGCAGCTGGTGCTATTGATGGGAATAATTTCAACCTCACAAATTGGTTTCTCTGCATTGCTGGAATAAAAGATCATCTTTTCTTCTTTCCTGCTCCGCGCCCACAGGAGAACTGTATCTGAGCATGCCCACCGCCTGCAGACAAGCAAAGAAGCGGGCGAACGCTCGAGCAACAAAAAGAAAAGGAAAGAAGACTTTTGTTACTGTGTGTTTTACTGGAAATGTGGCTGAAAAGCTGTCACTTCCTGCTGGCTGTGAGCAGCACTGGACTGTCACCAAAGGCCCGAGTGAGTGTGTTGTTGCTCTTGTTTACAGGTTTTCAACCAGTGACGTCCTCCCGTACTGAAAAGGCCTACTGCTGAATCCCTCTGCCTCTCTCACACACAGACACACAAAGCACATCCTAATTTGATTCCCTCCAAAAGCCTGGTCCCACCGGAGCGTTGTGTGGGTTTTGTTTTCCGCTGTGACTGAAGGGTGGGATAATGGGACACAATTAAATTGCGCTCGGCTTATTTACTTTTATCTGGGAAATCAAATTGGCTGCGCAGTCACGGGGAGGGTCGTTTTCGAATCTTGAAACCTCACAAAGGTCCGCAGAGGAAGACGGACCATGCAGAAGGAACCTCATTTGACCAAATTCTGTCAGTTGCACCCGCAATTACGGTGATCCACTCCCTTTTCACTGCATCATTTAGAAAACACACTCCTCTCGCGTTAATGCCTCTTATGTGGCATAAAGTTATTGCAAGCAAAACAATTAGGGGTTAGACAAAGAGAGAATTACCAAACAGTGAAATGTATTTCACCAAACGTGGTTTAGAAAAACTAATTTAGCCAATGAGCCGTATACACTACACCTTCAGTGTGTCCTACTTTTCCAGCACCTTAATTCTTCTGTCGTCGTCGTCTTCCTCCGCTTATCCTGGTCGCGGGGGCAGCATCCCAACTAGGGAGCTCCAGACCGTCCTCTCCCCGGCCACCTCCACCAGCTCCTCCGGCAGGACCCCAAGGCGTTCCCGGACCAGATTGGAGATGTAACCTCTCCAACGTGTCCTGGGTCGACCTGGGGGCCTCCTGCCAGCAGGACATGCCCGAAACACCTCCCCAGTAAGGCGTCCAGGAGGCATCCTGACCAGATGCCCAAACCACCTCAACTGACTCCTTTCAATCCGGAGGAGCAGTGGTTTTACCCCGAGTCCCTCCCGTATGTTCGAGCTCCTCACCCTATCTCTAAGGCTGAGCCCGGCCACCCTACGGAGGAAACTCATTTCAGCCGCTTGTATCCGCAATCTCGTTCTTTCGGTCATTACCCAAAGCTCATGACCATAGGTGAAGATTGGGACGTAGATCGACCGGTACATCGAGAGCCTGGCTTTCTGGCTCAGCTCCCTCTTCACCACGACAGATCGGCTCAGCGTCCGCATCACTGCAGACGCCGAACCAATCCGCCTGTCGATCTCCCGATCCCTCCTACCCTCACTCGTGAACAAGACCCCGAGATACTTAAACTCCTCCACTTGAGGTAGGACTTAATTCTTCTGCTTATATTTAAAATATATTCACAGATTTAACACTGAACAAGCAAGAGCAAAGAAATGTCAATCATCCCCTTGAGTAAACGGTTTACTGTTCATGTCTATTATGGAGTCTTTTAACTTAGAGCAGCACGTTTCAGGCCCCACATACAAAATGGGCCACACTCTAGATCTTGTTTTCTCTTTGGGAC